CGGCACTGTGGCTCTTTGCAGGGAGGTTGGAAGGAGTTCAGTACACGATCTCTCTCTGATCTCCCCTCCATTGTTATGAGTGTGGAAGTGATGTTTATTACATCACTTCCACATTCAGCTGTCACTCTCGGCTACAGAAGCCAGAGAGAAGCTGGTGAAGCAGATCTCTGCATTATAAGCTTCTTTGGGAGTCCCTAGGTGACATTAGGGGTCTTAGAGACCCCTGATGTCTGCAAAAGAGGACCTGTCACTGTAATTTGATATCACATAGGGGGCTTATCCCCAATGTAATAACAATAAAGTTAAGTGAAAAAAAGTTACAAAAAAGGCTATCACAGCATGATATTTTCCTGCCTCTTTTGCTATTTTCTCAGTGATAGAGATCATCTTAGGTAAAGCTGATTTCAATGGAGGTGCCACTCTGTTTAGACCTCTGTAATCCACAGTCAGTCTTGAATAGTCTCCCCAATTTATTTGTAGCCTCCTGGCAGCCTGTACTGCTTAAAACAGATTGGCTTCTCTGGTGGCGGAATGTAAACAGGAGTCCATTTTGCATGACCTCTGACCACAGCCTTCATCACCCTTTCCAGATATGTTTTGTGTGGATACCCAAAAATAAATGTACCCCGTTCAGTCTGGATTGACTGTCCTTGAGGTACATCCATACCATGAATATTTTCAGGCAATTCTGACACTAAAACATTTGTCCAAAAATCCCGGTCCCTTGCCAATAGCCAGTTTCGCCCCCTGTCCTAATTGCTGTTGTGGTCTACCCTCCCAAACCTTTTACATAAGTCACTTCTCCTTTGTGATGGGAGGGATTATTGTAACTTCAGCTCCAGTATCTACTAAAGCCATTACATGTTGGGGAGAAGATGACCTTCCCTACCATACAGTGACAGCCTCCAGCTGTTACAGTTCTCATTTCTATCACTAAAGAACCACGTTCCCTTCACAAATGATAAGAAACCACCCAGTTTCCCTTCCTGAGACTCTTTAACTCCTCTCTAGGGTAAAGGGATTTGGGTTTGGGTTCTTGTACATTTCTGGGAATTTATTTGGGACTAGTAGGAGGGGTCTGTTCTTTTTTTTTTTCCAATCAAAAATCAACTTTATTGTACATAGGTATAATACAATAACATAGGCAATCAGTGTCTCAGCAATAAAGCCACATCTGCAATACACATCTGAGATAAAAGGTACAGTTGGTCCATGACATGTAGTGCGAACATGGGAAGGCTGCACAGCTCAGCAGAGCAGACATTATATTGTATGGCCATGCTGCCCTTAGGTATTATAATGAAACAGTAACCGGGTAAATGCAAACAACATGGCCAATACAGTCGGAGATCTATCATCAGGGTAGTGTGAGCCTCACGCATCCTTAAGTATAAGGCCAAGTGGGAGTGATAAGCAAATATGAGTTGGTTGACAATTCCTGTCGCTCAGGAACAAGTAGAGGAATAGTTTGCTTATGTATAGTATCGATGGGGATAGGTTAGGGTGAGGGGGTGAAGGTAAGGGTAGATAGAAGGGGTAGGTAGATGGGGGCGGGGGCGAGAGAGCCAGAGGGAGAGGAGGCAGGGGGGGGTAAAGAGCAGCGAGGTCGTGGGTCAAGGGTGTAACATTCCAGTCCCCACTAGGACTCAGGTGGGTGTTGCGGTCATGGCCTGGTAGTAGGTATCAGTGTCCTGAAAAGAGGCCCAGGGTCTCCAAGTAGTCCGAAAGGTCTCCTCGGTGTTCTGAAGTGTGGAGGTCAAGTTCTCCATCACGTATATCTCATTAACCTTAATGAGCCATAGTCCGAGGGAGGGGCAGCTAGGCTGCTTCCACAGCAGTGGGATGCAGAGGCGTGCGGCATTCAGGAGGTGTCTGGATAGTGATTTTTTGTATTTTCCAAGGGACATGTCATTCAAATGTAACAGGCATGCAGCAGGGTTGTCCGTCAAATCCACCATCACCAGGTCCTTCATGGTGGCAATCACCCCCCGCCAGAACGGGAGTAAAAGAGGACAGGACCAAAATACATGTAGTAACGTGCCCGGGGCACTCTGACATCTCCAGCAGATAGGTGGAGCTCGAGGATACATGACGTGAAGGACTGTTGGGACCCGGTACCACCTGGATACTATTTTATATCCCAACTCTTGGGTTTTGGATGCAATGGAGGAGTGGTGCGCCAGATGTAAGATGCTGTCTTTTTGGGCCGGGGTGAAGATGGTATGTTAATCGCTTTCCCATTTGGCCAAGAAGGTGAGGTAGGACTCTGGAGGGGGGGATATCAGCATGGAATATAAGAGGGAGATCGCATGACGGGTGGGCATCTCCTCTTTGCATATCTTTTCAAATGGGGTAAGAGGCCTGGAGAGTCGCTGATGGTTAGGAATGGAGAGCAGAAAATGCCGTAGTTGGAGAGCGCCCCAGCGGTCTAATGGAGGGTCTGTCAGATTGGCAAGTTCGTCCACCAGTAACCACCGGCCAGAAAGGTGTAAGTCGTGTATACGGAACTTGTTGGCTTCACGAAGGCGCCGAAAACGAGGATCGTGAACACCAGGCGGGAAATCTGGATCGCCAATCACTGGGGTCAGAGGCGAGGGGAAAGGGGAGATGTCTGTGGAGCGAAAAAGCGATCTGGTGACCAGGATTGTGGGCGCAATGGTGGGGTGGGAGCGCACAGAGGGTGACAGGGGCGCAGAGAGCCAGGGCATACCGGCCAAGGCTGGGCTGGTGTCTTCCTCCTCCATTCCCACCCACCGCTTGGTTGCCCGGTGACAGCACCAATCCCATACACGCGCGAGGTGAGTCGCCCTGTAGTACTTGGCCATATCTTGGAGCCCGATGCCTCCCCTATCCTTGGGCAGAGTGACAGGGGGGGAGCATAGGACCACAGGAAGGCCGTAAACATTTGGCGAAGGCGTCGAAAGAATATCGGTGGAATGCGGATTGGGAGGGCCTGATGGAGGGGTCTGTTCTAACTCATCTAACCCTAGGCTAAAGTTGTCATCACAGGTGGTGTTTCTAACCCTGACAGATTTCCCCACTAATTGTTTCCACCTCTTCATCAATTCTACAGTAGAAACCCCAGCTATCTCATCTCTGGGCACTCCTGCCTTTAATAGGTCCGCCCACATTTGTCTCCTAGAGATAACTATTCTAGTTTTCTCTGTACCTCCCAACTTCCCTCCTGTCTTACCAGTCTTCTCTGTCTTTTTCTGCTTCCTTTCCCCCTCTCTGGCTTTAACCGGATCTACTGCCCTTATAGGTTTTGTTTTAGTCTCCTCTAGCTGCCCCAACTGGTTTAAAAAGGTAGTGGCTTCATGAATCTTGCTGTTTAATCCCAGGCTTCCAAGCAAGGACAATAAAAGAGCTCTGAGTTTAAATGGTGCAGACTCCATCAACTTGGAACGCAGATTAGACGTGAACGCTTCCATATCTGGACCCATCCATTCCGGCATCTTAGTTAGTTATATAAGCTGCCGTGAGGTCCCCAGGAAGAGCGGGA